CACACTGCACCTCAGCGCCCTCTACCTGAGTCGATGTCTGGGCTTGATCCAGCCATTGAAGTCAGAATATCCTTGTGCTCTCAAGCAGTGAACAACTAACTGATATACGCTGTGTATCTGCTGGATGTTTTGCAGCTAGCATTAATATTCTCAGCACCTAATTATTTTTCACCTTTAACGTTATATTATTGTAGAGTAACTTCATCCCTATTATCCATTTATGTTATATTGTTTTTGACTTGTTCTTTTGCACTGTACATTGCCAAGGGATTGTCTTTGTTTATATTTTGTTTTCTATGTTAATTAAAGTTTCATTGTTCATACTTTGTGTTTTGCGTGCCTTCCCTTACTTTACCACAGACAAACAGGCAAGCAGTCTATCTTTTTTTTTGTAAGTGTGACTAGGCATTGACACCTGCCATTGGAGGACTGCCGTACATCTACACTCCAACATTTTCCCGTCACAATATTATATATATATATATATATATATATATATATATATATATATATATATCCTTCCAAACTCACTCATATATCTGCCCACGCTTGAAACACTCAAGTGACCCACGTCTTATGTTACCGGTTATCTATTCAACAAATCGTCAATCCTGTTTCCAAACCAGCTAAGTACACACACATTGCTAAGTCAACGGAGCTGACTGCCATGGGACTACAGCAAACAAAAAAAACTAAATAGTAGAGACCAAGGTGATTATTGACAGTAACCAGAGTTACATCAATACAGACATCCTTACTTATTATCGACTAACCTTTGCTGAATGACTAACTTTCGCCTGAGGCGCCTCGATAACACAGGTGACCATCCTGCATATAATAACTTGTAATTTCCTGATAACCGGCCAATCTCACCACAGCCCTACAGTCCATTACACCAATAAGCTACACAACAAGCTCTACCACCATACTGATCATCGCTAAACATTATGATCAACGCGGCAAGAACTGCATCATTCCCACGACCTGGCAACGCTGTACCGGCGGTCCCAAGGTGTGGGGGGGGGTTGTGCTGCTCATGACGTCATTAAAATTTATGTTCATGACGTAACACTCGTGCACACACATTTCCCTCCCTCCTACAACACCCATACAAATAAATTAAATAAAACAGCTCACAAACTCTGATAATAAACTCTCAGTTTGCACTGCCCCAATGTAAAAACCTTGAATCTTCAGCTGAAGCATGGCACTATAATTCAATGTTACTAAAGTCGACGATACAAGAGCAGGCAATTAGCCTTAAATTAAATTAACTTTGAGAGCCTAACAAGGCTGATTTAAAAGATGTGAAACAATTTCCGTTCATTTGGAAAATTTAGGTATTGATCAAGATGGTGGCAGTTACAAAATAACTTTAGGACATTTCCTTTCCATCAAACTACCATTAGTACACCTTGACAATGCTGTAAAATTGCAACAAGATCAGGTTATATATAGGTTTTTAAGATAAAAACGTAATTTAAAAATCTTCTCGATATGTGCTTTAAACCTGCATGCGCTTAATTTCGAAGCATTTAATGATTACGTTAGTAGCCTTGCAATCGTAAGGATATACCGTAAGCATATTGGCAGAAACTCATTTACCTATTTTGTTTACAATGACGCTACTTGGCAGACAAATCTACTCGTCCACAACTCTTACAAAATCAATGTATACTTAAATACTTTCTAAATTAAATCAATTGTTACGCATTCCGATATGATTTTATATTTACCACACACTCATATCCCCTTGTTTACGCTTAATCCAGCTGTACAACTCTATCAGATGTTATCACTAATTCTACGCCACTCAAGATTAATACCAGAGATCTTAATCGTCTTCATTGGGAAAAATCGTAAAACCGGTGACATTCTTAATAGTCATCCTCATGGTCTCCAAGAAATTCAGGCACATTCTGCATTACGGTAACAGTGAGCGGCACGAAGTTCAAACAATACTTTGAAATGTCTTTTTGTCAATCAACACACAATTACACTTATAATTTTCACATAAATGGGCGATAATTACAGATCTAATACTCGGCACGGCAGAACTCTTGATAACGTAATATACTACACTAACGTGACCTTGGACATTTGGCAAGATTAACAGTAAAAATTAAAAAATTAAAAATGGTCATTTGGGTAAAAGTACATGCATACAAGAGGAGTTACAAACATCATGTTGGATTTCTAGAGAGAGCTAGTATATACTATGTTTAAACCCACTAATACGCAGCGGTTCAGGAAAGTCTTGCGGAAACTAAACTACTACCGTATTAAAACGAACGACTTTATCTTGCAGGATGTCGACAGCAAGTGACAGCATAGTTGATGATGTAGCCGGTAAAGTAGCATAGTCCCTCCTCAGGCTGCACGAGACTAGAGTGCGCCAGGTAGACGATTCTTAAAGGTTCCAGTAAAGAGAACAGCCTCTCTGAAGGAGCCATCACACATCTCCCCCTCCAGCTTCTCACGATAAATACAATGCACATTTACTGCTGTGACTCAGCGCTCGGTCTCAGTCGTTCACTCGTTAGTTGTGCTTTATAACGGACTTCGACAACAAATTAGAAGTAAGCCAGCAAGCACGCTGGCTCGCACTTCCTGTCTCTACCATCTTGACGCGCCCGTCCTCACAACCCAATACCTGTACTTATACCTAGGCTTCCCACACCCAATCTCCACGGGAGACATCTCCCGTCACGCAGGGTGCAGTCGCACCTCCACAGATCTCCGGTATCAGCTCTTGATACTGGTAATGGCTCAAAAGGGCCACCACTTACGGGCTATTCATGCCCGTGCCACCTTTTGGGTTGCTTAATCTTTATCAATCAATCTTCCCACACCCAATCTCCACCGAATACTTGTGCCGTCTCCCATACAACACCACATCCTCAACTAATCAACACCACACACACACACACACGCTACACAAATGTTTTCATTTTTGTGTGTGAAAACATTACACACTGATTCCCCCCACATAACACATGTACCTGGGCTACCCCTCCACATTGTACACAATTACACCACAAATGGACCACTAAATAACAAGGTTTACCTTTAAGGAATTCTCCACACCAGAGAAACATGAAACCTAACCTCCATCTCTCATTGAAAGACAACCATTCTACAAAACTTACGGAACAATCTAAAGGCGATAATTATTAACAACAGGTGCACACACACACAAGATCAACCAACTTGTACGAAGGCTTACCTTCCGGTAATGATGTGGGCGGTAGTGGGGGCGTGAATGACCCCCCACCCAAACGAGGTTTACACACTTGGGCCTGCCCACACGCTATAATAAACCGCTTGCAATCCACTCAAATTTATCAGATGGTAATCACCACAAGCAATAACGTGGAGCCACGTCCATCAGACCGTTGAAGAGGTTTGTGACCGTCTGGGTTGACTGACGAGCAGCTGTAGGAGGGCGGCGGTGGTTCTAGTGGGGGTCGCACTTAGGTAAATCCTTCCTCTTATACCTGATGTGCTAGCCTATTATCCGACACTCTTAGCACCCAACTCAGTACACTTGTAAACTTCCTGCTCACAGCCAGAACATGCGTCCAGACCCCTGCATGGTGGCGCCACAACTCTACAGTCTGACCAGGCACCGCTCACAAACCCGCAGGGCAGACAAACGCCATGATACAACACCGACACAAGACTGAGTCCTCAGCGGCTGGCTCCACTGTTGCCGATCTTCTCCCATCCCACAATCATCACACCCTAACTTTCATTAATTCCTCTGAACTAACTAGGTTGTTTAAAACTGAACAACCTATATTTATTATTTATTATAAATAAAGAAATTTACAAGAGGATACAGATAACTAAGAATTTCATTGATTCAAGACAGGGATAAAGCACTAGCATGTAATAGGCGCACTGGCAACTGCATTCCAGTGAATCAGCTGTCATTGACGAAACAAGATCTACTTTAGATTGGTTATGCTAACACTCAATTAAAATATATTGAATAAGTCGACATTAATATGATGTAACGCACTTGCTTACACTTGTGTTAAAAGACGAAGACTACGACAAGAGGAGAAAACTTGTCTCGAGAACGTTACGCCTGGCAAGGAAGTAGAGTGAGTCATGCGGTGGTGCCAAGTCTACTGTTCACGAACCTTGACAACACCGTCACGCATGGGCGAGCCCGGATGTCCTGTCAGGACGCATCTGACCCACACACACACATTACAATACTCCCTAACTAATAAGCATTTCGTGAGTGCCTCCATCCATAACACACTGCCATTCACAAGACAACGTAAAACCAGTTACACGGAGCTCAAGAGCAAAGGTTAAAGCGCGGAGAGGGAGTGACTACCACACCCACCCAAGTATTCTCCTCCCATCTTTAGTTTCAAAGAGCGCTCCAACGAAACTTAAAATACATTTATCAAGTGCATATTAATTCCTCAAAATACAACGTTGAATAAATATATTACACTTAACTATAGTTATTGACTAGTACAATATACATATTTTATGGAAATGTATAGGTTGAGCGATCAGTGAGCCTAAGGCTAAAGTTAAGCTCAATGGCAGGTGCATGTCATCGCGCGCTTATCATAAAGGAGGCTATGGATCCATCTAGTATTATGGTGCTTTAAGTTTTGTTCAAGCCAAATTAGGCTACTTTGTTATCGTTTATCGAAATTATTTAGCCCACCATGTTGTATATGTTATGATAAGTAAATAGTTTTTGTTTCCTCTTTTACACTTTTCTATAAGTTACTACTATCCTACTTTCGTCTGGTTGATGCCTCCAACTCATAAAATGGGAAACCTTGATAACCTTACCTGTTCAGCATTTTGCACATGAAATTACATTCATTAAATGTAAGCAGATAAACATCACTACACAAGAACTATGAATACGGCTGTCCAATTTTAAATTCTAAAAGATGCCCAAAATTTATTTACACTGCAAAATTCCAAGATACTGTACAGTACTGAAAAATTAATCTACTCACCCTTCAGATAACTTCTTCCATAATCAGAGTGAGATTTCCCCTATACCATATATGAGTCGGTCTGAAATGAGACATTTTTAATTCACAAGACAAATAAATACTGTATGCAAATAAGAAACCAGGACACACAGACTAAAGAAGCTTCAATATTACAAATTCTTGCAACTCTAGGCATAAACAATTTAATTACAAATAATCACCTAATGTAAAAAAACTACTGTGAATTTTAGCATCAACCAGATACAGGTTGGGAATTTACTACTCAATGTTATGAGAAGGTGGGTATTTCTCATCTAAGGTGCACACCCAAGATAAACTAACTTGTGCACTTAAGGTGCATCACTATACAAAGTGTTAAATTAGGTTGGATTACCATTTAGTAGGGTATCCCTGGAGAGCTCTTCTCATTTGGAGTCTAGATAATATTTTGCTGGCCAGCATACTGGTAAGAAATGCTGAATAGAACCAGTGAAAAGTAAGGGTGCCATAGGCACAATCAGAGAATATTGTATCAACATCAGAGGTCCATGGCTGTTCAGTGTCCTCCCAGAAAGTAAGAAATTTTGACAGTACAAAAGCAACTTCAAGAAAAAATCAGGACAGTTTCCTGCAAGAACTGCCAAACCAACTGGGTTGTAGGATATATGGAGCTGTAGGCCACTTCAGACATCAATTTGTTGGACAAGCTCTAAAGCCAAGCCTGGTCCTTGGCTAGGTTTGGGAAGCAAGCCTAATAGAGTATTACTCTTGGTGGAGTACCAGAACTCCAGGTACAAGCCAGGTATACAATGATGGGTTATGCTGTAAAATCAGGGTAATCTTACTGAGCTGGCACACAGCTTATGGGTGGAGCCACCATCTTGGAAGGAGGGAGGTGGTACGAGGTGAGACGACCTGACCTCAGTTCCAAGGCTTGACTGAAATAATTCTATAATTCACTGTGTTGGGGTACAGGAAGCCAGAGTGTATTCAATACACATTAGACTTTGTATCTAGCTCCCCCCCCTTTCCCCCAAGATTGAATTACTGACCCTGCCCAGGATGCAACCCAACAATAAGCTGACTAACTCCTGAGTACTTACTTGCTGCTAGGTGCACACACACATTAGGTGAAAGAAAATGTGCCCAACTATTTCTGTCTCGCCCAGGATTCGAACCCGGAATTCTCGATTGTGCATTGAGAACAAACTCGACTGTACCACCGAGACCCTCTTATGCCTGGATCTACTCAACCTAGTGACATCACATGAACTCTGATAAGGAACCAATCAGTGGATAGGCTAATGTAGATGCTACCCTCTGATTGGTCGATTCATACAGAGATTCACTGAGGTTAGAGCAAGCATCAGCTTGAGCAGCAACCAGCATGAAGGCAATCTCAGTGCGGCAGGTACGACAGACTTAGTGCTGCCTGCATCAAGTAAGACTGCCCGAATTATCACTACTGTTAGCTCTGCAAACCCGGAATTGTTCAGGGGTTAATGAGATTTATTATACAGGGACATTGTCAAGAACAACTGCAAGGGTTGACCATCAATGACCATCTAACCCTGCATTGAAACCTACTGAAGATACAGCACCATTCTCCTTATTAATTTCCTATTGTTTGTGGTAAGAAAACCACAAGTGGTCAAGATGCAAATTAATGCTGTCTTAAGCCACTCGTGGTCACAGCAAGAAAAGTGTGAATGAGAAAGCATGTGTTTGGAAGGAAAGACATATGTACCATTTAATTTTGTATAAACAGCTGTTTCACATCCATGGCTGCCCATGAGGTGGCCTAGTTTGATTTGCCTGCAAACATCTGAAACAGGTGGTGATAGAAATAGACTGGAGATATTTCAAATTCAAACATGGCATGTCCAGCATTTGGGAGTTTGGGAGAAAACTCATGAATGCTACTGAGGATAACAGAAGTGCGAGATAATTACACCATACATTTAGCCATAAAATGTGAGATACAGTATTATGTTTTGTGCAAGTAAATTGATGTCCTTAGTATTCACAGTATTACTTCTGTAATCCTCTTCGTAATTACCATACAAGTGAAGTGAGTTATATAAATCGGTGCTAAAACAGGGCACCTCGAGACTTAAGTGATGTTCTGCAGGATGGCTATATATCTCTGATTAGTTTTTGCATGATGTTTCCACAGTAAAGAGAGAAACCCAAAGTATTTATATAGGACAAAGCAGTAATAGTTTTTATACACATGGTTTTATTAGTGAACACTTCCTCCTAATATTAAACTGTCATCCCCATCTGGGAACCACATTCATGGTGGCATCTATAGTACACTACTTCTATAAATTTTGGTGTGAGAACCAAGTATCTCTAAATCCAGGTTGAACTAACCATGACCAATAATCTAGCACAGTTCATTTGGCTGCCTCTGTTGCAGGTATGTTATCTATACAGTATATTTAATAGAGTTATTTATTTATACAGTACAAGAGTTTTTACATTCTTGTAAAGCCACTAGCATGCATAGCGTTTCGGGCAGGTCCTTAATCTTAATTTTTCCCAGAATACGACACCACCAAATTATTTAACAACCAGGTACCCATTCACTTCTGGGTGAACGGAGGCAACAGTTAAGGATTGGCGATTGGTCAATCCTCCCCAGCCAGGACACGAACCCAGGCCAAAGCCCTGACAAAGTGCTGGGCGAGTGTCTTACCACTGCACCAAGGGGACTGTCAGGAAACCTGTGGAAATATAGGAAACCTATCTCACAACGTGGCAACATGCTTGAGCTTTGCATTGTTGCTCTGAACGCTTTATTCCATGGACAACCTTTGTGGGCTGTCAATCATATTGTAACTGGGGACATTGCTGGCAGAGGTGGTTAAGGAAGTGAAGTTCAAACAAATGCTGCTTAACCTCTTGTTTCTAAACTCTTTTGGGCCAGGTCTGCTGTCCATGGGCTTCGGATCGGGGGTGTGGTCCAAGGCTTATTTTGTTTGATTTAATCAGCAAAAATCCCTGGAAGTAGGCCTGTAAGGCTGATGTGGTGTAGATAACATTTGTAATTAATATATATATATATATATATATATATATATATATATATATATATATATATATATATATATATATATATATATACCTAGTAGCCAGAACGCACTTCTCAGCCTACTATGCATAGCCCGATTTGCCTAATAAGCCAAGTTTTCATGAATTAATTGTTTTCCGACTACCTAACCTACCTAACCCTACCTAACCTAACTTTTTTGGTTACCTAACCAAACCTAACCTATAAAGATAGGTTAGGTTAGGTAGGGTTGGTTAGGTTCGGTCATATATCTACGTTAATTTTAACTCCAATAAAAAAAATTGACCTCATACATAATGAAATGGATAGCTTTATCATTTCATAAGAAAAAAATTAGAGAAAATATATTAATTCAGGAAAACTTGGCTTATTAGGCAAATCGGGCCTTGCATAGTAGGCCGAGAAGTGCGTTCTGGCTACTAGGTACGACATTATATATATATATATATATATATATATAATGTCGTACCTAGTAGCCAGAACGCACTTCTCGGCCTACTATGCAAGGCCCGATTTGCCTAATAAGCCAAGTTTTCCTGAATTAATATATTTTCTCTAATTTTTTTCTTATGAAATGATAAAGCTACCCATTCCATTATGTATGAGGTCAATTTTTTTTATTGGATTTAAAATTAACTTAGATATATGACCGAACCTAACCAACCCTACCTAACCTAACCTATCTTTATAGGTTAGGTTTGGTTAGGTAACCAAAAAAGTTAGGTTAGGTAGGGTTAGGTAGGTTAGGTAGTCGGAAAACAATTAATTCATGAAAACTTGGCTTATTAGGCAAATCGGGCTATGCATAGTAGGCTGAGAAGTGCGTTCTGGCTACTAGGTATATATATATATATATATATATATATATATATATATATATATATATATATATATATATATATATATATATATATATATATATATATATATATATATATGTCGTACCTAGTAGCCAGAACGCACTTCTCTGCCTACTATGCAAGGCCCGATTTGCCTAATAAGCCAAGTTTTCATGAATTAATTATTTTTCGACTACCTAACCTACCTAACCTAACCTAACCTAACTTTTTCGGGTACCTAACCTAACCTAACCTATAAAGATAGGTTAGGTTAGGTTAGGTGGGGTTGGTTAGGTTCGGTCATATATCTACATTAATTTTAACTCCAATTAAAAAAAATTTACCTCATTCGTAATGAAATGGGTAGCTTTATCATTTCATAAGAAAAAAATTAGAGAAAATATATTAATTCAGTAAAACTTGGCTTATTAGGCAATTCGGGCCTTGCATAGTAGGCTGAGAAGTGCGTTCTGGCTACTAGGTACAACATATATATATATATATATATATATATATATATATATATATATATATATATATATTGCAACCCATCCTCCGAATTGACAGTACGATTTAATACTAAGTGTAATAAGTACACTTTCTTACTGTAATAAGCAGTGCATAATTGCACTTATGGGACTTACATTGACCCAACTCCCTCCCCCGCTTTAATTCTTCTCGTTTTCTGTTAAGTCACTCAGAATTTTAGGATGACGTTTTCAATTTCGATTTGCAATACACAAGTTTTAAATATCAGGAATTTCTTTTTCAGGTTAATTAAACAATATAGACTTTATACAAAATTTTAAAATATCCTGAGTTACTTTACAATTTATTGATATATTTTAGTTTTGTTTTATTAGTTTTATAAAACTGTAATATCAATATAGCTATAGGTTAAGTACTAATTGTAATTAAGCAGCAATACAATTATTATCTTCAAAAACTAAGACGGTTAGGTGAGGTTGTGGTTTTCTATTCAGTTTTTCAGGTAAACTCAAATATTCACAATATATCTGACAGTACGATTTAATACTAAGTGAAAATAAGTACAATTCCTAACTGCTATGAATAGTACATAATTGCACTTATTTGTCTTCTTACATTTACCACCCCATTTTTGGAGGACGGGCTGTATATGTGTGTGTGTATATGTATGTATGTATG